AATCTACTACAATTAAACCTATTAATATAAAATAAGTATAATATTTTAACATTTATTTTGACCTGATCTAAAAACGTTTACCTTCTTCTTCTTTCTTCTTTGTGTTTGAATCAATCTTTGATTGTGTGATGGTGAAACTAAGAAAAAATCTTTAACATCTTTTAGTATATCGACTTATGAAGCTACCTTTTATGCATTTTTTAGAAAAAAAAATATTTTGACCCCGATGAATAGATTTTCTGGCTCCGCCACTGGTCATCGATATTCGTCTGGGGGTTGGCGGATCAACCCGCATGATAGTATTTATTGATAAAAATATAATTTATTCAACATGTGGTAGTTTAAAAAACTTTTAATAAATGAAATTATAATATTTATAAATATAATGATATATAAGATTATTTTCTCTAAAAACATTTTAATTTATTTATTTTAGTAGAATTTTAAATTTTGGTTACTCTAAAATTATTTAAACAAAATCCACGGATAACCCCGCAAATCAGCATACATTCGCGCGACGGGGTTGTGTTTCATATATGCTACCCGCGGGTCGTGCAGACAGACTAACTACATGCCAAACTATATTTTGCCTATTGCAAAACAGGCTTAACGGGACGAATCAACTCGTTTTGACAGCTCTAATGAAAATATTATTTAGTGATACAACTCAATGGAGTTTGGACATAAGAATTATAGAATATGTATCTTATTTGTTAGATTAGAGATTGAAAGGTGAAATATAATGATTAAAAATAATTAATATTTTTCATGATTCACAAAATTTAATAAATATTTATCATCTTGTTGAATAATTCTAAAAATCATATTCAAGAAATCTTTATAACTATAAACTTCTTTGGTAAACTATAAGTATGATTGTATGAAAATACCATAATGTCGATTTAATCTAATTAAATTAAAATTAGTTACATAGATTTCATATCTATTTAATTTACACGACCAAAATAAAAATATCTATTTATTTAATTTATAAAATAGATGGGTTAGTTGTGATAAAAATTTTAGAAATCTCTAGAAGCAAGTAAGATATCTTTTAATTAATGATAACTGGCTAAAATAAGCAAAATTAATGAGAAAAACGTTGATTGTTATGGAATTAGTTCCAAAAGTATATGAACAAATATATTATACGTAATTAATGTATAATATTGTTCGGAATATGATTTTATAATTAGTTACCATAAGTACAATCAAATTTTATTTGATTTCCATAAACATTTGGGTTTAGTTTGATTTTTCATTATTAATTCGAATTTATATTCCAAAAAAATTTCAAAGATCCGATTTCAGAATTTCGGGTCAATTTTCTAATTTTGACCCGATCCATTTACATTTGTACTTCTCTTTTAATAGTATAGAGATAATTGTATTTTGATTGTTAGTTCCAAGATTTCACCTGTAATATATGTTATCGTATTAATATCGATCCAAACCGTTCCACCATATAACCATATCCCGTGAAATTAAAAATTATTTTGTTATTTTTATTTTTAATTATATTTTTATTTAAAAGAACATATAATTCGAGTCAATTTAAAAGTTTGCTTTAAATGGTTCTCATAATATATATTTTTTCAATTATTACAGAGTTCAAATATTAATAATATTATAAAAATTTTATAGAACTTAAATATAATAAATACTTTAAACGTTTTATAAAGTTTAGATATTTATAATGTTTAAACTTCTTATATATTCTTATAAAGTTCAAATATTTATAATATTTGAAACTTCATACAACTTTTGATATTACAAATATTTAAAATGTTTATAAAGTTTAAATAATTAAAAAGTTTAATAATTATAATATTTAACTTTTAATAAAGTTTAAATATTTATAAATTCTTTAAAATAAAGAACCGGAGTAAACCGGATAATATTTTTAATTTTGGACGCCTGATAAATCAAGCTTTCTACTCATTTGTATTGAAAATCGTTTTGGTCATTTTTATAGTATGACTTTGAACCATTGCCTAATTTTTCAAGCAAGGTAGGACATTGTTAACATATTTTCTCTATCTGATTGAGTAATATATGTCTGTTTTTAAAATTTAAATCACATCATCTGTAGAAAAAGTCTAATATTTTATTAGCTACATGTATTTTATAGAAATTCAAAATAAATTAAATATAAGATCAAATAAAAGTAAAAAAAGAATCATATATTTATGTTTAAATTAGGTAAAGATGTTTTAGGAAATTACCAATTAATCGAATGTAGTTAATGAAAGATAAGATTTAAGAGAGAATTAAGGACATAAATTGTTTTGGTAATATCTTCCATTAGATTTTTAAAATCTTCAGAATTTAATTTAAGACAATGACATTCCAGTGTAAATAATTACCAACTCCAAGATTTATTTCAAAAATATCTCCGAAAATGTACGTACATATAGATAATTCTTTTTGTGACTCCACTATACCATTAAAATTATTCTCAAGAACTTCAAACGTCCTATTCCATTTCCTACTTTTATTGCTACACAACTCAAAGAGATTATAGATTCCATCATCTATATATAATATCTTTCATTCAAGCACAAAGATGATGGAATCTATGTGCAAAGAAACTGTTGTACATTATGCATCCAAGAAAGTATTTATACATCCTAAACCTAAAGATAAGGCGTGTGAAACTCTCTCTTGATCTTTGATCTAGTGTTATCTTCACTAACAGTTTCTGTTAGTCATAATTAGATAATTTTGGTTACTTGACCAACGCCAGGGTTGTTTTGATTGGTATTGGGCTTTAACCCCTCTTAACCAGTTAACCATAACACCATTTGTTTGGTTTTGTCTGCTTTTGTTACGTAAAAGTAGTTGATCTTGTAAATTTGTAAAACGAGACTAATATGTCCGTGTGATCCATCATGTAGTTTGAGTTAGGTTTTGGTGGAGATATCATCTCTTTTTTTATATCAATGAACTACTTTATTGTTTTGGATTATATATTTGATTTGTATCCATCTTATAGCTAACCAAATATTCGTGTGGTTTATAACTAAATAACACCAGAATTATAACCAATCCGTCTTTTTGATTAAATAATACACTATGATCACCATTTCTATTTACAATGTTTACCAAATACTTTTACAAAAAAAATACATCAAATTTTAACATTTTCGTCAGCTCAATTCCAATTCCAATCAATTTTCTACTTCAGCTCAATTCTAATTCCACAAGTTATATAGTATAACCTAAATTTTAAAAGAAGAAAAAATGACAAAAAAAAAAAAGACATTTACACGGTTTCCCAAAAGAATCAGAACTCATACAATACAACAGAGACAACAATTGAAATTTACTGCTACACATTTCTCTCCACACTATAAATTACAATCCACCAAAAAACACACTTCAATCAACACTTGAGTCTCTCTCTACTAATCTACATAATTCTTCTTCCAATACAAAGCAGCCATGGTAGAAGCACTTGAAGCTCCTATCAAAGAAACCAATAACAGCTAATTGATCTTCTTTGGATCATTCAGAACAAATTCTGCATACAGATCCTTCAAAGCAATCACCACCGTCGTTATCAACGGTCCCATTATCGCTCCCTGCAATCGAAAAAAACATTACAAAATCGCCAACTTCGGTCCAAATTTCATAAAGATTCAATCATTTAATTTTCTTACCTCGAGAGCAGAAGGAAACAGAGTCACTCCACCAATAATACTTAGTCCAGTAATGTAAGCATTGGACCCAGGAATGTCATCTTGAATCTCTGAAGCACCATACTCCATTAGCACAAGATGAGTCACAGATAGAGTAACTGCAATAATGTATCTTCCTTCTAGCACTAGTTGCAAAGCCGCTGGGATTGTCGCAAACCAGTAAGGGAAAATCGGTAACAGAGCACTGATGAAGGCAAGAACGGTCGACATGTAAAGGAAATGTATATTGTATAGTCTAAACAATAGCCAAGTGAGACATCCTTGGAAGAAGGCGATTTCCGCTGTTGCTAAAAGCACGCCGGAGATCGCTAAGTCTAGGACTTCGACACATCTGTTTCTAGCACTTGCGTTGATCGGGAGCATGTTCATGACTTGCTCAGTCACACCACCTGATTCTGATGTGATTAGAATGTATAAAACCCAAATGAAAACCATTAGCTGAGAGATAAAGTTGAAAAACTCTGCTGCTCCCGAGATTATCAAGTTTCCAATAGAGAAAACGAACTTAGCACCGCCTCCAACAACTGATGCGCTGCTTGAGAAAACCCGTTGAGATACATCCATTCCTTTAACAGCAAAGCCTTTAGCTTTCTCCACCAAATCTTCTCTTGTGATAATAAGCTCCCTGAAAATCACATCAACCTCCGAGTAGATCTGACTCCATTCTCGATTCTTAACCCGAGTCCTCAAACTCATGAGCTTCTCTGTATAAGGAGACGGAGTTATAAGCGCCGTAGATGGTGTCGACGTGTTCTGAGGATGCCCGATCACGAAATGCTTAATCCCCGTGACTAACTCCGTCATATTATACTGCATTGCCAAACTATCAATCTGCTCAGAAACCGTTTCATAAAACTTCGTCGTATACATATCCACCATTCCAGGAACATCATTCTCATCCATCCATTGCTTGATTCCAATCTTCTCAGCGTAATTACTCTCTTCAACATGAGATTTCAGAGAATAAACCGCGTCTTTCCCTTCAACACCGATCTTATACGAGAAGAAGATGACACCAGTCAAAGAACCAACAATCATAAGCACAATCAAACCAATAGCAACAATTGTATTCAATCTCTTCATTATCCCTCTAGTGAAATAAGCAGTGAAATGGCTTCTCCTAAAACTATTACTCCTCAGAGAAGAAACCGCAGAGAGAGACGAATCGACATTCTTGGAACTAAACAAAAACCCTAAAGAGAGAATCACAAGAGACCCAATTCCCCCAATCCTCTCATAAGCAATGACAAAGACACCAAAAGAGACTAACCATCTAACCAATTTGGAAAACCCAGTACCGTTCTTCTTCCTCGTTCTCTTAGGTTTCGATCTCCTAAGAAAAACCCTAAAGCAGAGATTTTTAATATCCACAATGGATCCGATGAAAACATTGAAGACAGAAACAGGAACAGCGAGAACAACTTCCGTTAGCCCTAATTTCAAAGGCTCACTCCAGAAATCAACAAGGGTTTCTTGAATACCTCGTAACGGAATCGAACAGAGAATCGCCCATTGAATCGGTCTTAGATACTCTTGTAATAGCTTTCCAACGAAATACAGAACACAAATGGCGAAAACGAGACCAGCGTGAGCCATTGCTATGTACATAGCGAGACGTGCTTGTGAATCAGCGGTTGATAAAGATGTTTTGCCGGATGATGATCCATCGCCGGAAGGTTTACGCGGTGGCGATGAAGAAGAAGACGGAGGGTCTTGAGGTTTACGCGATGAAGCGGAACGAAACATCTCTTGCCACGCGAGATTTGTAGGGATCGATGATTTCGTCTCCGAATCGTACGGGACCAATTCCATCAATCAAATCTCTCTGTGTCTCCCTCCAAGCACCGATTTTTGAAATGAAGGTTTTTTATTCTCAGATGATAATTGAATGTTTATGATTGGGACATTAACGGAGGAGACAGAAGAAGAAACTATCTTAGTTTAAGTTTAAATGTCGGAAATGCCCTTACCGACGACGGCTTCAATTTTTCTACTTTACTAAATTGATGGTCTATTTCCGGAATTAGTGCATACTAAAATTTTATGAAAGTATATTTGCGGTAACTCTTAAAAAGGTTAATTAGACCAATACAAATAGTCAACTAAAATGGTCACATGCCTCGAACATGCATGACACAACAAAGCCAGATTATTAACGCAAGTCACAATCTAACACGTTCTCCTGTCTATGTGTTAGTATTGTAAGATGGACAAATATTTCTTCTATTCCAAAACAAGCACTCGATTCAATATTATTACTTACACAAAACGTGATTACCATTTTGTTACTATTTTTTGGCACGAAGTTCCATTTTCTGGATTATAAATTTATAATATACCAAAACTTCGACTGAAGTTTTCTATCAGGAAATTTTGTTAGGATGGACAATTTATGTTTGATATCATGTATGATCAAAAGTTAATTTGACAAAAAAAAAGAGAGTGATGAATTCTGTCAAGTAAATAATAAATTAATAATACGAGAATTATATGGATAACCTAAATTTTGTATCAACATTATTAAAAATAGTTAGTCTAGAATTTCATAAATTAATAAAATAATTTAAATCAAAAAAAAAAAAACAAATCCAAACTCTAAATCTCACCTCTAAACTTTAAAATCTAAACTAGAAATCCGTAATGCATGGAAAAATTAATTCTTCTGCAAATCATAAACAAAACAAAATGGTCAGTTGTTTAAAAAATTTCATTATTTTAATTTAGATGTAAACTATTTTTTACAATAATAATTGTGAGTGTTGTTTAGTAATGATCGGGTTTATGCAGCGCAGCAGCTCATCAGGCGGCTGGTATATCGGGCCAGTCCACTAACATATGGTTCGATTAAAAATGGGCCGAATCAATAAGGCTCGTCAATCTCTAGCTTGTGTTACATTTTTTTTTATTTTTTATTTTTAGCTTGTGTTACAAGCTCGTCAATCTCTAGCTTGTGTTCAGTGCCGGCTCAGATGGGTGGGCGGGCGGTGCGACGGCCAGGGGTCCAATCCCGTAGTCCAATAATTAAGGGGCCCATTTTCTAAAATATTTTTTTTTAAATATTAAAAAATTAGATTATAACACAAAAATAAAATTTAGAAAGGTCTATAAAATTATTTATTTATTGTTTTTAGTATTAGTAATTAATATTTTTAACAAAAATAGCATAGAAAATTTTTTTACAGCAAAAAACCATTTAAAATTTTTTTCTAAGAGTCCAAAATTTTTTTTTTCCCTAGGGCCCATAAAAATGTTGAGCCGGCACTGCTTGTGTTACATATATTTTCACTTCTTCCACTTCCAAGTTTATACAAATTTCGCCAAAAAGGGATTACCATTGTGAACCAAAGACGACATGGGGACCTAACTATATCGGTGTTAATGTTTCAATCATACTAAAATAGACAGAAATTGAAGTAGTGGATCCACAAATCTTACATTTTTATTAGAATAAGAAGTTTACTTATACAAAGCGTTTGATGACGTGGCCATGCAGCTTTTTGTTTTATTACGTAGGCCCTCCAGAAAAGTTTGTTGAGACTTCGAAATCTTAAAATTAAAGCTTCTCGTTTTCGAGGTCAAGCGTACATGTTAAGTCATTTTTATTCGTAAAGTGATAATAAGCTTTTAAGTATCATCACATTTGATCACTTATACATAAAACTCATTTAATTACTCCTTTTTTGTTAAGTTATACGTATGACACCTAAAGCAAGATTTTGCTATTTAATCATTAGCTAACTAACCCTACTTTCTCCTTTATTTTGGTAGGTTGCGGAACTAATTAACTCTACTCTTTCAAAGTTCAATTTTTTTTTTTATGACTAATAGTGTTATGTTTCTACAACAGTATGTTGCGTGACGTGACGTCTATATTCTTATGACTAGCAGCTTAGACTATGTACAAAAATGTACAATGCCATGATTGTGATCACAAAATTGGTAGTTCGTTAATGTCAAAAATATATGTGTTTTAATTTTGTTAGGTACAGAGCAGAGGCACTCTCGTAAATAAAAACTACCATTAAAATCTGAATGTATTGTGAATGTACCGATCTGAATAATTTTTTTTTATCAAATGAAGTTACAATTTGGACGTTGAAGAAGTCAACACGTGGCAAATCACACACTCGACAATTTTCTCAAGGGAAACAAAAATATCCCTGAAAATTTTTCTTAATTTTCGAGATAAATTGATTAAAAAAAAAAAAAAAAAAAAACAGAAAGATACGCAATGAAACTGCGTTTTCAAGCAAACTGCTAAAAATTTCTATCTTTTTTCTCTCTCTCTATAAGGGCTCTGCTTCTTCTACAAGAGCCGAAACAATTATACCATGACATTAAAATCCAGATTTTATTCATTCATTTTCGTATTTTTGGTTTAAAAGTAAAGTTTTTTCCTCCATTAAAACGGAAAATGTGATCTGGGTTTTTCATAGAAAGGATTAAAACAATCGGAGAGAGAATTACAATTTTTGATTTTTCATTTGGTGTATGAGATGGGTCTGGTTGATTCTTTGTTAGGAAAAGATGCAAGGAAATTTCTCAAACGGAAAGATAGTGATGCTGCAGAAGCAGGTACGTATGATTATTATGAACAATTTATGAATCTGCCTTCATATTCTTCATTTTACAAAATTCAGATTTCTCATGATGAAAGATGATGTTTTATTTATTTTCACGTTGTCTCTGTTCTTCATTGTTAAAGTTAAATGGTTATGATCGGATTGTTAATTAAAGGATCATTAAGGGTTTGATGAATTGCTTCTGATGAAATGAATCTCACCTTTAGGTTAATTTGTTTGGTCTGTTTGTGTTTTTTTTTTTTCGATTTGCAAGGAAGAGCTTTGGAAGAACTCAGAAGTTCTTTATACAATGAGCTTAAAACATCAGAAGGAGCAAAACGGCAACAACAGAGATTTTGTGGCCCTGTTGTTGCAATGTCCTTCAATTTCTTTGTTGCTGTTGGAATCATCCTTGCCAATAAATTAGTAATTCGGCTTTTTGATAATATCTCAATTTTTTTTTCTCTCTTTTTTTTTACCATGTGATTGTAAGTGTAAGTTGAATTTTGCAGGTGATGGGAAGAGTTGGATTCAATTTTCCAATCTTTTTAACATTGATTCACTATACTGTTGCTTGGATTCTTCTAGCTTTCTTCAAGTCTCTCTCTTTGCTTCCAATGTCTCCTCCTTCAAAGACTACACCTTTCTCATCTCTCTTCTCTCTTGGAGCTGTCATGGCCTTTGCTTCTGGACTCGCTAATACCAGTCTCAAACACAACAGGTTCATAGCTCAATCCGTATAATTTGCATCAAGATTCATATCAGATGGCTAAGATGGCTCAAGCTTGAAAGCTTTTTGTGTTTTTTTTTTTTTTGTTTCCAGCGTTGGATTCTATCAGATGGCTAAGATCGCTGTGACACCAACGATTGTTCTTGCAGAGTTTGTTCTCTTCAAGAAAACCATTTCTTCCACCAAGGTTTTGAAATTTCAACAGAACAATCAAGAATCATTACATGTTTTTGGTGTTTACTCTGTTTTTGGAGTTTGTCCTCTCACAGGTCATGGCATTAGCTGTAGTATCTCTAGGTGTGGCAATCGCGACAGTCACTGATCTAGAATTCAATTTGTTCGGCGCATTGGTTGCTGTTGCTTGGATTATCCCAAGTGCCATCAATAAAATACTCTGGTCTAATCTTCAGCAACAAGCTAATTGGACTGCCCTAGCGTAAGAAATAAGAATCTCTCTCTTTTACTTTTACTTGAGGCTTAAGAAATAGAAGTCTCTTAAAATAAACACTTTATTGAATGTAGATTGATGTGGAAGACAACACCGTTTACTGTTTTCTTCTTATTGGCGCTTATGCCATGGCTTGACCCGCCTGGAGTTTTGCTGTTCAAATGGGATTTAGCTAACTCTTCAGCAATCCTCGTCTCAGCTCTTCTCGGCTTTCTACTCCAATGGTCTGGTGCACTCGCTCTCGGGTTAGTCTTGTTCTTTGCTTCAGTTTGAAGATAAGTCTTGAGTTGATAGATTTATACCACCATCCTTAAGAGGCTAGAGTACTAAAGTTGTTGTTTCTTACAGAGCAACCTCGGCAACATCTCATGTAGTATTAGGGCAATTCAAGACATGTGTCATCTTGCTTGGAGGTTACGTTATCTTCGGCTCCGATCCTGGTTTCATCAGCATCTGCGGCGCTGTGGCGGCTCTTGCCGGCATGTCTGTCTACACGTGGCTCAATCTTCCGGGGAAATCCATCGATCACGTTTCAAATAAGCAGCTTCCAAAGCAAAACGTTACCGTTTCAAAACCTAAAGCCGAAGCTGACGACGGAGGAGGAGAGACCGGAGTAACCGTAGTTTCTGTTGACCCTCTTCTCTCCAAGACAATAACTGCAAATATCGTATAGTTTTGTAATTTAATTAGAGGCCAAAGAGAAAAAATGAGTTTACTTTTTTTTTTCCTTCAGGTTTAGTTTGTAAAATTGGTTCAATTTTATTATATTAGTATATTTTGATATCAAATTAGTTTAGTAAAAGATACTAATAAAATATTTTGATATCGTAATGTGGCAAGAGGGTTTGAAGGGTTTATTTGTACACTAAAGAAATAGGGGAAAAATGTCGTTTAATAGCTGAACTTTCAAAAAATGGTCATTTTAACTTCGAACTCTGTAAATGGCCATTTTATACGTGAACAAAAAGTTGACCAGCCATTTAAACCAAAGAAATGTGTTGACCAGGCCAAAACAACACACCGTTAACCCTCGCTAACAGAACTGCTAACACCCGTTAACATCCGTTAACGAGTCTCCGTTTGAGATGAAACGATGTCGTTTTGTCCTAAACTAAACCCCCAAAATCGAAATTATCCCCAAATCGAGAGATCAAATCCCTAAACCTAACCCGTAATCGAAATCCCTAATCCGTAACCCAAATTCTCAATTCGTCTTCCCTAATGTCAATAGTTAGACACAAAGGAGTCATTTTGAGGATGGGCTCTCCAATGCTTGGCGAATCTGAGAGTTTTATGAGAGATGGAGTTGAAGCACCACCGCGAGGCGAAGAAGATGGTATCGGAGATGGAATGCAAGCTCAAACCAATGTTGTATCAGAGTCTTGTGGTAGAGAAGAGGAAGCTCCAACGAATGTAGTTTCAGAGTCTGTTGTAGGAGATGAAGCTGAAGCTCGTGCTCCAGGTCGACGAAGAAAACGAAGGAAAATCAGAGTTGGAGAGGAGGATGAAGAGCCCGAAATTGATCCTGACCCTGACATTGAAGACGACTGCGCGGTGTATGGTGATGAAGACTGCGATGATGTTGATGATGCTGTAGGTGGTGGAGATAAAGACGATAAGTTGCAGATAATTTCGATTTTGGGGGTTTAGTTTAGGACAAAACGACGTCGTTTCATCTTAGACGGAGACTCGTTAATGGATGTTAACGGGTGTTAGCGGTTCTGTTAGCGAGGGTTAACGGTGTGTCGTTTTGGCCTGGTCAACACATTTTTTTGGTTTAAATGGCTGGTCAACTTTTTGTTCACGTATAAAATGGCCATTTACAGAGTTCGAAGTTAAAATGACCATTTTTTTAAAGTTCGGCTATTAAACGACATTTTCCCCAAAGAAATAGATGTCGTAGTTTTGAAGTAATCTATAACTTGGTGTGTCATAGGAGGTGTAATTAGTAAATACCTTAAACCTTTTTGAAATTTTCTGTAATTTCAGAAACTTTAATCTACTAAAGTGAAAATTTATGGGAATCGGGTTATCGGTATAAAATCGGGCTGACCCGAACCCGGTTTTGTGCGAGATTCCACTGTCCGTCGTTAACAAAGAGTTAAATCTCGATTTGCTTTGCGACTTTATTAATTTTCCTTTGAGCGCCGGCGAGTGGGATTATCAGAACTAACTCAGTGAGTCGCCGATCGAGTTAGAGATGGGGATGGGAAGTAACGGCGAATTGAAGTATGAGATCTCCCAGAACGCGTACATCAAACTCGTTCTCCACTCGCTGCGACACAAGACGGCGGCGGTCAACGGAGTCCTCGTCGGTAGAATCAGCCATAAGGACGACGGAGTTGTAGAGATCTCAGATTCTGTGCCGCTCTTTCACTCTAACCTCGCTCTCCTCCCTCCTCTCGAGATCTCCCTCATCATGGTTCGTATCTCTTCTTCTTCGAATCGATTTGATTTGATGAGCTTTGAAATTGAATTTTGAAAGAGATTATGATCTGATTGCGTTGGTATGGATATTGAATTACGAATTCTGGAAATTTTTTAGTTCGTGTACTAAGCAGCTGCATATGTTATTATTAGCTTGTTCTTAATTTTCTTTATGTTTGCTTGATTCTCAGTGAAGTCTTTTTGTTGTTTCTATTTTAACATAGAAAAGTCAGATCTTGAATTGTTTGTTCTGTAGCTGTGTTCGAGAGAGATTTAGTGTCTGTATCTATATGGATTGAGAGAAAAACTTACGGATTCAGGTATATTTTTTTGTTTTGGTAGATAGAGGAGCATTATGTGGCTCAAGGTCTAAGTATTGTTGGATACTTTCACGCAAACGAGAGGTTTGATGACGTTGAGCTCTGTGGTGTGGCTAAGAACATTGGTGATCACATCTCTCGCTATTTCCCTCAAGCACCAATTCTCTTGGTAATCCTTTACTTTCAAGTGCTGCACTTTCTTGAATCACTAGGTTTAACTGTCGTATGTTGCACCTTTATGCTGTTTGTAGTTGAACAACAAAAAGCTTGAAGCCTTATCAAAGGGTAAAGAGCGAAGCCCTGTGATGCAGGTTGGTATTTCTTATCACAACAAGGTTTTGAAAAGTGTAGGATAACATGGATAGGAGATTAAGAAGTTAGTCAGTTTAGTAAGAAATATATATCAAGGCTACTCTAGCTTATTGGTATTTGAAAATATGGTTTTGGTATATTGTTATGCTAAATATAAGATCAGAGAAATAGTGAAAGACTGAGATTGTTAGTCCAGGCTCTTGTCTCAACGTTGCATTCATTTTTTTAAATTGCATACATGACCATGAATTGTGCTACCAACCTTCTTGACCATTTTAATCAACCCTTTTCTCGCCCTTTTCTTTTGGTACTTTCTGCTTGATGCAATTTTCTTTTGTAGCTGTTAAAAGGCCTATTTATCAGCTTTTACAGGTTTAGTAATAATGTATGTTGTATTGCATGTATATGTTAGCTCTGTGTGAAGGATGCTTCTAAGAACTGGAGAGTGGTTGGAGCAGATGGAGGAAGTAAGCTACTGTTAAAAGAGCCATCAGCCAATGTAATTTTGTCAGATTACATTTCATCTGAGAAGTGGAAGGACGTCACAGATGTTGATGATCACCTTGATGATGTTACCAAGTAAGTTAGATACACGAACTGAACAAAACAAAACAAAAAAAAAGCTACGACCTTTATGTACCAGATGGTATTTTCTCACTCATATTCACTGTAATTGCAGGGACTGGCTAAACCCTGGACTTTTCAACTGAAGATGTGTATGCGATATAGCTAAATTAGACTTTTGCTTTCATCATCTTCCGTCGAAAAACAAAAAATTCTCGGAGACCCTTGTTTAAAATTTCCCTTGAATCTTGTTAAAGTATTATCCAGCTACGCAGCAGAGCTCAAATCACTTTTAATTGGTACACATCTTAAACCTTAGTTTTATCATTTGAATGATATCTCTTGGAGCTTGTTCACGTGATCCATATTCTCCTCTCTGGTTGCATTTTGATTATATAGTTGGAATGAAAGCTCTACTTTATTTGGCTATTGTTCTTAAACTTACAAAGTAAATAGTTAAATACTGAAGAACATGAAACCAAATCTAGTGCTTTACATTGTTTGAATCCCTTAACTTCTTAGGGAGGGGTATTACAAAGATATAACGATTACCAAAGCGTTTTTCGACATCAACAGTTACCCCTTTCTGGACAAGGTTGCATCTTCATCAATCTTAAAACACGGGACAACCTTCAACAACAACACCTTTGGCCGTTGGGCAACTCGCTAGAGGGCAATGGTCTGAATTCTCAAGCCCCCACCAATCAGGTAAGCTTATATCATTGTTCTGAAATGCGAAGAATATCAACACTCCCATAATCGCAGTACCTGCATCAAGCGCTGCAGAGAGGATGTAGTTGTGCCTCGCCCACCAAGTTTTAAACCTCCTGAAGATGTAGTAGTTGAACACAACCCCAACGATGGCCCAGGACCAGTAATGCACAGCCTTAGCTTGTGGCATTGCGCTTACCGCCGAGAAGATCAAGGGAACATGGATCTGTTTTAGCCATTTCTTCTCTGGGAACTTCTTCGATAGGTACCAGAAAGGAACTGGAGCGAGGAGACCGATAAGGAAGAACCAGTTCATCCCGGGATAGATACCTTCTTTGGTAAACATTCTCCCTGGACCAATCACTCCCCATATGATTGATGCATTGTAGAACACTTCATCTCCAGGACAAGTCCATGGACTACCCACCGGGAGCAAATCCACGTTACATATATTCTCTACTGATGTAATGAGCCACCAAGTTGTTCCGAAGCAGACAGTTGAGGCAACCACAGTTGCAACAAGCTGGACGATGAACATTGATCTTGGAGGAATCTTCATGTAGTGACCAAGCTTGAAGTCTCCTACAAAGTACAAGGCTTGAGACATACTAATGTATCCGTATGTCTTAAAAGCGACATTGGCTAGTGGCTTTCCCGGGTATAAGTACCCTATGATCAGTTCTGTTATAACATTAAGACCCATTTGCTGGTTCGTAGTTGCTTGGATAACTCCGATAGGCAATGTGAAGAACAAAGCGATGGCGCATGCGAGTATAAGTCCCCACCATGGAAGCTGAAGCTGTTTGTCAAAGCCCTCACAAGCATAGAGTGCGAAAGCAAAGGAAATAACTAGAACTACGATGAACCACCATTGAGGTACTGATTGATAATTCTTCTTCATCAATCTCGAATGCACATCTCCGTACTTGTCCTTTGTTGCTGTTTTTGCCTTCTTCCACATTCCCCATATAAACCTTAAGATACAAACACAAAAGAAGCTTAGAGAGAGTCATCATCAAATCAGCTATCAAAACAATGTTGAAAGATCCTTACTTTCCATCATAGAGGGCGACATGAGAGATGGTAGCGAAAAGAGAACCAAAGCTGAGTCCATAGAGCAACGCGAACATCACACTCAAATAGAGCTTGCTGTAACCGTTGTAAGCGTCTAGATTGATATCGAAATTCTTCTCATTGAGGATACGAGTAATGTTATAGGTGTGTCCAGTCTGATCAAAGGTGTGTGAAGTATAGAACGGAAACTTCTGTGCATCATAAGCGTTAGTCCAGTAGAAGATAGGCAGAACAATGTATAAAAAGATGAAGAATCCGCCAAAGAAGTTGGCAATGGCGAAGAATGGTACAGCCAATGGACTGCCTAAGAAACCAGCAACTGTGGACCAGTCAAGACCAAACGAACCAATTCCTAAACCCTTGAGCCCCGAACCGACAATCTGAGCGGTCACTGAGCTTTTCCAAATCCAGCAAACAAATGAAATCGTGGAGATGGAAGGGAAAAGGTA